GGGTACCCAAACCCCAGTTTGCGGGGTTTTGGCTTGAATGGTAGGGTATGGCAAAATTTTCCCATGCTGCATCGGCACTCCCCAGCTGCTTTTTGAGGTTTTTCTTTGGGCATGGAATGGGAGGGTTTTTGGTTTTTTTACCAAGGGGAAACTCCCCCTCCATCCCTCCTCCTCACTTTTTTCCCTTTTTTCTAACTTTTTTTTTTTTTAAATTTAAAAAAAAAGGGACAGATTTAAAGGAGCCCCAAATCCATGTACCCCCTCCGTCCGGGCCCCCCCTTTCCCTGTAGCAGAAACCTTGGGGCCCGACCCTGCCTTGTTACCAGACCATTCTACGGGCCTTTCTACTTTCTTTGTATCTTCTGTGGGTGGCTTTTGTCTCACGCTCCAGATACAGAAGCTCAGCCTGACTCCTTTGATACCTATGACCTCCGTACATCTTTGACTATGCTTCCAACGGTTTTTGGATAGTCTGCCAACCTCAGAACGAACCACCTCTGGTCCAGTAACTAAACGACCCCGACTTTCTTCCAATGATACTATTTCGACTGACTCTCATTCTACTCAGTAAAGACCAACATAACAACCACTTCTTTTACATACTACACATCATAATACACAACAGAAGATGTTTTTTCCTCTACAACCGACATCTTCCTCAGAATAACTTTCTGATCATAGTATCAGCAAGGCACTCCTGTGCCATGTTGGTCGCAATATTCCGTTGTACAATACCTTTCTTTTCTGTCCCTTCCCAAGCTTCTTTTCAAGTTACCTCTAACCTTTCATCTCCCCCCACATTGGTAAATTCTGTCGTCACCCCAAACTGTACTCACCCTCCTCCTCCTATCTCCACTATCGCCCCACATACAACATCCTTGTCCTCTGAAACAATTGAAGCTATCTCAACTACATTGCAGAGACTAAACTTTACTCTTCTCCATCTGCACAACTCCTTTCTTCACAGTGTTTCAACTCTTTGCTGCTTGTTCATTTTCTGCTGCTTCCACATGTGGACTTTTCTAACCTTTCTAGTCTGTAGATACCTCAACCTTCCAATTTCTTGTATGGTTCTCTTTGCAAGTCATGGCTTATTTACAGTGTAATATCCGAGGGCCCAGAGGTAACTGGGGTGAGCTTCAGGTGTTGCTCTTCCAGTTTTCTTTGTTTTCTTTTTTGTTTTTTGTTTTTTGTTTTTTGTTTACAAGAACCTAAATTATGCTCTACTGTTATCCATCCCATCTCGGGCTATGTTTTATTATATTCATTGGATCCTTTTTCCGATGGAACCTCTAATGAAAGTGCACTTCTTATATTCACCAGTATACCATGCCATCAGCTCTTTGTTCATACTTCACTGCATTACAATGCAGCCCACATCCACTTGAATAAGTGGCACACAGTCTGTTTTTCCTCTCACTTTCTCAGGCATTATCTATCCTAAATGTTGCATTTGTGATTTCTTCCTTACCGCCACCCATTCTGTTACTTGGCAATTTTAATGCTAAGCATTTGCTCTGGGGGGTCTCAGTTCAGTGTGACTCTCGCAGCACTCAGTTGGAGGCTTTTCTCACTTCTCTCTCACTCCATGTTTTAAATATGGTTCCTCCCACACATTTTGATCCTTGCACTCAATCTCTCTCTTGCATCTATCTCTCGGTTTGCTGTTCCTCAACTGCACTAGACTTTACCTGGTCTATCCTCCTGGACTTGCATGACAGTGATTATTTTCCAATCATCCTTATTTCTCATTCGTACTCACCACCTCCTTACAATTTGGCTGAGCAAATTGGAACCTTTACTACCGTCAAACTGCTTTTAGTGAGGATCCTCTTTTGTCCTTCATTGATGAGCTGTTACACCTCTTTTCGACCTCAGTTTTAATTGCAGCTTCACAGTCTATACCCCAAAACTCGGGCAGGCATCTCAGAGGTGCATGCCTTGGTGGTCTCTTGCCTGTGCTTGTGTGGTATTTTTGAAATGTGCTGCATGAGACACAATAGGATCATAGAGCACCTCCTTGATTTTAAGCAGACAGGAGCAGCCATCTGCTGTGTCATCCATGAAAGTAAATGCTCTTGTTGGCAGGATTATGTTTGTACCGTCACTTCGGCTTCCTCAATAAGTGCAGTCTGGAAAAAAGTATGGAAACTGAGTGGCAAATATACTCCCAACCCAGCTCCCATCCTTCATGTTGCCAGTGTCGCTATAACTAGCCCACTTGACGTTGCCACCGAACTTGGTCATCATCTTGTCCGTGTCTCCAAGGGGCTCTATCTCTGCCCCTCGTTTCTTTCCTCCAAGTCTGCCAGAGAGTTTGAGCTCTTAGACTTTTCTTCTAGCAGAGAAGAGTCTTACAATGTTCCTTTTACGCTTCTAGAATTAGAGACAACACTCTGCTTGCCGATCATCGGCAGCTGGGTCAGATGGCATTCATGTCTGTATGCTCCAGCATTTACATCCATCAGCCCTTGCAGTTCCTTATGTCTCTTTAATCTTATTTGGTCATGAGGAGTTCTGTCTCAGCAGTGGAAATCTGCCATTGTACCTTCTTCTCGAAAACCAGGTACTTCGAGACTTGATGCCTCCCACTATCATCCCATTGCTCTTACCAGTGCAGTTTGCAAGGTGTCTGGTAAATAGACATTTGGAATGGTATTTAGAGACACACAATAGTCTCTCCATTAGTCAGCATGACTTTCGTAAGGGCTGTTCTTCTATTGACCCATAACTCCATTGAGATACATATGTACATAATGCCGTTGCCAATAGCCACTCGGTCATTGCCATCTTTTATGATCTTGAGAAGGCATATGACACAACTTAGAGATATAACATCTTTGCCCAAGCTCACTCCTTGGGACTCCGAGGCAATCTACGATTTTTCCTTAAAAACTTTTTATCTGAGAAACATTTCTGTGTTCAGGTTAATAATATGCTTTCCCTAGACTTTGTTCAGAGCTGAAGGTGTGCCCCAGGTATGTGTCCTGAGCAACACACTGATCTGGCATCTATTCTTCCATCTATGATTTGGTCATCACACTATGTTGATGACTTTGTTTTGGCTTGTGCAGGCACTGACTGCCACTTCATTGCAGTTTCTCTCCAGCAGGCAGACAACCGTGTTTCCAATTGGGCCACTGCTCATGGGTTTAAATTTTTTAGTACTATAGCACACCAAATTACTTTTATCAGACATTCTATCATCCCTGATAATCCATAGTACCTGTATGGTTAGTGTATCCCAGAACGTGATACAGTCAGGTTTCTCGGTCTTCTGTTTGACCGTTGGTTATCCTGGAAACCTCACTTTACCTCCTTAAAGGCAACTTGTCATAGCCTGCTGAACCTCCATAAAATCCTCGCTCATCTTTCATGGGGGGCTAATCGTAGAACTCTTCTTCGACTGCATTCTGCCCTAATTTTATAGAAGCTAGATTATGGCGATCAGATATAATCAGCAGCCTCTCCTGCAACTTTCTCTAGCCTTGACCCCATCCATTACCAGGGATAATGCTTATGCCTCAGTACTTTTCACTCTTCAACTGTTGAGAGCCTCTATATGCAGAGGTGAATATTCCATCCTTGACTGATCTCCATGATGTACATTGTCCCCACTATTTTGTTTGCTCTCGTGACCTTCTCAATCCTTCCAAATACATTCGCTCTTGTCTTCTCTTTGTTGCCACCTTTCTATGTTCATGTAGCATCTAACTTTTCCCTTCCCCCTTGATAAATTCTGATGGTTCATGTCTTGTTCTTCTCCACTGCCATACACAAAAGCCCAAATACCTACAGTTGCTTCTCGCTTTTTCTTAATCACTTCCAGTTTCATTCTCATGCCATTGCAGTGTACACTGATGGTTCCAAGTCTTCTGACGGTGTTGGATTTTCAGCAGTGTTCCCAGACAGCATTGTACAAAGGCATTTATTAGATTCAGCTAGCATTTTTACAGCTGAATTGTATGCAGTTTTCGTAGCACTTTTCCGTACTGCATCTATGATTATGTCACCATCTGTGGTAGTTTCAGATTCCCTTAGTGCTTTGCAGGCTATACAAAAATTTTATTCACCTCATCCCCTAGTTCTTCGTATCTAATTTGGTTACACTGTATCTCTAGCAAGCACAAAGATATTGTTTTTATGTTAAGTTCCCAGTCATGTTGACATACAGGGCAATAAACGGGGCAGACACTGCTGCACAGTCAGCAGTACGTGACCTCCCAGTTTCATATAGAGGTGTTCCATTCACAGACTATTTTCCTGTGATTTCTACCCACCTTCGCAACCGTTGGCAACAACGCTGGTCTGATCTTCTACATAAACTTCACTCTATTAAACCAAGTACGTATAGGTTTCTGGCCATCTTCTTGTCATCAGTGTCGAGGTTGGGAGGCTACTCTCTCCCATCTTCTCACTGGACACACTCAAATCATGGAGAGGAGCCCTGTTCTACTCTGTGAGAATTGTCAGGTTCCAGTTTCTGTTAGTCATATTCTGTTGGATTTCTCACTCTATCAACAAGCACACAGAATTTACCTCCGATGTTGTGACTGTTCTAATGCCCTTTATCTTCCCTTCAGTGACTTTTTGACAGCAACTGATTTACTGCACAAACTCTGATGATAATGCCTCTAGCACTCCTCACAGCTTATTCTACCTCTCTCTCTTGCTACCCTCTACCCCTGCACTATCCTCTGCCCCACTGCATAATCTAATAATTATCCCTCTCTCTCTTACTGCCCAATACACCTGCATTTTACATTGCCCTGCTGTGCTGTATGACCCTTGTAAGTTTAACTCTTCATTTTTTATTATATTAATAATGTCACACCTGAAAGTTATCTCCTTCACTTTGCTACTCGGTATATTGTAATGAATCACAATAATCACCAACTTCACCTCCACCATCGCTGCTCTCACCACCACAAGAAAAACAGTAAAGGATTCATCTGTGTGTGGCTTGCAGTTCCTACACCACGGTCACATCAGCTTCTCTCCCACAGTAAAGGTACTCACCCTCCTGCAGGTTGTAGTAGCTGGACCATTTCACATGCATTATTCACCCCAGCGTCACACACATCACTGAGGTGAAGTACAGCCATCTGTGTCTTGGGCAGTGGCACCAATATTTCTGAAGATATACCAGCTGGCACTCTCACACCTGTAATGATATACAGTGTTATCACCACCCAACATTTTCCTCATCATAGCTACATAAACACCATGAGCATTACACACACAGCATGACACAGTCAAACACTCACAGAGGAAGCCAAGCTCAGGTAACGCAGAGGTTACAGCATCGGAGAGTCGTGGCAGGAAGTGGAGAGCGTGGGCATCGTTCCCTATAGCCAGGTCTAGCTTTTCCACACTAGGGGGTAGCATAGCCAAACCATCACCACTCAGATAACCCATGAATTCTTTTAGGTAACTCCTGTAATGGGATGAAACAATTATGAACCTTGCCAAGTAATTGATTTACCAGGGTAAAATAATTCTGAATACCACCAGATCACTTTGTGTCATATAGAGTAACAACAGAATTATTAATATCAACGATAACAGTAACTCACTTATTTTGTATACGTTGCAGGACATCGTCTGAAGGGGTGGTTGTCTCCGAATGATGGTAAGGGTGGTCAAGTGTCAGTTCTGTGCAATGATGGTTGTCGAGGCCAGCTAGCAGGTTAGGCAGGCAAGGTAAGTCTGCAGTATCACTGAAGATATTAATAACAACTTTAGATGACGTGAGGTATGGTAAGAGAGCTGCGTAGCTTCTCACATTACTATCACTTATGTAAATAGTTTCTACAGGACTGATAAAGTTAGCTATTTCTTGAACGATTTCTGGGGAAATCTTTGTGTTCTCGAGGAGATCGAACCAATGGCTGTTGTTCTTCATCCCAGACTCATGCAGGAGTTCAACAATTTGCTGTGCGATGTCCTTGGGCACTTGATCTAATAAAAGGTGTACCAGCCCAGCAACATGAACCAAAACATTCTGATACTTTGTAATTTCTAAGGTGACTGCTCTGAGGGTCTGTTTTAACACCTCTCTGATACTAACAGGTGCTAATGAAACTGGCGTAGATGTAGAATGTTGTAGGTCATTATTAAGATTCACCACAATATACCGAGCAGCAAAGTAATCTTGGATTCCTTTGTGAGGAGCTGAATACTGCTCCTTGATTCCTGTCAGCGTCCATGTTGGTTTTAAACAAAGGAATGCAGACAATATCTCTTTATGAGGCAAACCCAGAGACTTACATGAGGATTTCAAATAATTGACAGTTTTTTCCTCAAGGCTTAATTGGTCACGTGAAAGACTTTCGAGAGATGTTTTGTATATTTCTCTCAAAATTTCTTCAACTTTATTTTCTAAGTCCGAGTCGTCCAAATTCTTTGTATCTTCATGTACTATCAGTCTCTCCATTAATTTCTTTGTACACAGTTGGTGAATAATATGAACGAGTTCCGTGTGAGTGACTGACATTATGCTCAGCTTGTCAGGATCATTGTCCCAGATGTATATCATAAAAATCAAATTTAATGGAAGCTTTAAGTGCTCATAAAGACCTTTTAACTTTGTCACATTCCTTACTAGTTCTTCAGTATCCCTGTTATTCCTTGTTTGTTTGGTTATCTCCTGGTGATTTAGACGCACAAACAATGGTAAATTTTGTTTAGATATACCATGTAGTGAAGCATGTATCACAGCATACTGGTGAGGAATTACTTTCCTGAAATTTTCAACTTTTTCTGGTCGTGAAGTGCAGAGAAAAGCAATATTAGAAGAACAATTAAATTCATGCAAGAGACTGATGACAAGATCTTTGGAGTTTTTATTGTCTTCATCAAGTCCGTCAATGATAATTAGGATCCTACAAAGCTTCATCATTCTCGGAAGAATGTTCCTGAATTTTAAAGATACGTCTGGCATCAGCCGGTCCAGCAGGTCCTGATAGGAGTTCATCGTTGGGTCCCTACACTGTACCCACAGCAAAAGTTCGTAGTCATTTAAGCCATTGATATTGCCTCGGTCACCATTTATCCATTCATCTATTACCAACTGCATTAAAGTGGTCTTTCCACTACCTGCTAATCCTTCAAGCAAAAGTATTTGAGGTCTTGTAGTGATACCACATTTAGGAACTGTCGGCGATGGTGATGCTGTAGTCTGAATCTGTAGCTCTGAGACATATTTTGCAAATGAGGATGATGCTGTAGGCTGGATAAGTTGAAGAAGATCTTGATGATCTATATGTTTACCTTCATCTGTACGTTTACCATGTTTGACCTCGATATCCACAAAGATTTTGTCTATTTTAAGTTGTAAGTCACTTGTGATGAAAGACAATGGATTAACATTACTTATGCTTTGGAAGATGTTCTTCAGTCTATCACAGCTGTCCTTTATTATATATTGTTTTATATCATCCCTACAATAACTCATAATATCTTCCTCTCCAAGAATGTTTTGCGTAATGTGATCCAGGTTATCATTCACTCGCTTGATCTCTCGGTCGACCACGTCCTGGTCTTGCATAAACCGTTCTCCAGATGACTTAAGACACTCACTTAACACCTTCCGAAGCCTCTCTGTCTTCTTCAAGAGATCTTCTTCAGTACTTTCAAGTTTCTTGTGAAAAACATCGTTCCTCATTTGCTTTACAGAAAAAATATAATATTCCATTTCGGTACTTACATCTTTCCATTTAGGATCATTAAAAAAGGGGGCAACGTTTTCACAAGCTAATTTAATGGGGCGTAAAAAGAAGTGTCACATAACTCTGATCCATCTGGACTCTTGCGAAATCAGCTCCTTCTGTGTGTTGTCAAATTTATACTTAATATTTTGGAATCTAAATAATCATCCAGCTTCATATTAAGAGGTTTGTGAGGGGGTTTCCCCCGAGGAATTGGTATACATAACAGGTTTAGCACACACATTAACAGCAGTGATTAACTCAGTCCATTAAGTTGTTCTTTTTGTTATTTCCTGTCATGATGTTTCAAGAAGCCGACTTTGTGATGTACTGTGATTTTAGAAGCTTCTAATGGGCTTCACAATCATGTTTTAGTATTGTAAACACTTCGATAATTCAAGCTTCTAAAGAGGCTTCACAATCATGTTTTAGTATTGTCAAAAAACTTCGATAATTCACGTTAGTCCTTAATCCTGATAAAAATAAATAGTTTTTCATAAGAGAAACATTGGAACGTATATTGAAGTTCTCTGAAGTGCTCCGTGTACTTCCACTATTCTTACATTTCAATATCAATATTATTTTGGGATGTTAAGCTTTACGTAATCTTCCCACATCTGAAAATTAAAACAAAACAAAGTTTTGTTTATTGGTATTTTTAAAAGAAGAAAACAGAGCTATAAAATGAATACTTTTACAGTTGACTGAAATAAGTTTAAAAACCCTTTTGGCACAATTATCTTGTTTTGTTCTTCTTGAGAATACAACAATGTAAGTTAAAGTTAAGTTTTGTTTAGAGACAGACAGACACACACACACACACACCCCACACAAAACACAACACACACACACAACACACACACACACACACACACACACACACACACAGAGTTGTAAGGGAGAGGAAAAGCCTAGAAAATGACGTAGTGGAGGCAGGAACCATACACAGTTTTAAGACGAAGTTTGATAAAGCTCATGGAGCGGGGAGAGGGCCCAGTAGCAACCGGTGAAGAGGCGGGGCCAGGAGCTAAGACTCGACCCCCGGCAACCACAAATAAGTGAGTACAAATAGGTGAGTACACACACACACCGCGTGGGTCCCTGGGTGCAGCGTGGACACACAAGGCTCCGAGAAACCTAGTGTTTTTAAGGGTGCAGTGACTGCTAACAGTTTGCAGTGGTAGTTTACATCGTCAGTGAGCAATAATACGAGTGATAAACTAAATTTATTAGTTAGAAAAAAATCGTGAGAAAGCCTGAAATTATCCATTATCCAAATTATCCAAACGTTTTGGTCTACTAGGCAGCGGTAGGCCTGAAGCAGTGACGTCACGACAAGTTGTGTGCCATTTACACATAAAGTGAAGTGTATATTAAAGTGAAGTGTATACTATCATAAGTGAAAAAGTGAAATCGCATGATGAACGAGGGATGTATGAGCACATGTGGTTATAATCTTCACGGAGAAGGATCTCCAAAAATAGGGATTTAGGCTACGTACGCGATACGTCATCAGCATCTGGGAAATTGGCACGACCGTTGCCAGACAAGGTATCACCTATATTGTGGTTTGCATGTCGCAGGCTTGGCTTGGCTTGGCCTTGCATCGCTGTTAGATACTGGTCACTCACTCCGCAAGCTATTACAGTAGTTATTAGTAGTAAGAATACTTAGGAAGCAAGGAAGTCCTCTCTAAACGTGAACAAGGAAAAGGATAATAACAGCAATAATTGATCTTAAATCCAGGGAAAAAACAATAAGCGAAGAGTGTGCATTTCTAGGAAAGACAGAACAGAGAGGTATAAAATGATCTACCCCCCCCCCTAACCATTCCTCCCTCACACACGCACACAAGGGCAGACACTTATTGAAGCTTTAGACCCTAGTAGCAATTATCGCTTTTTATAACCCAGAATTACTGGTATGTATTAACAGTATCTCCCCACTACCCCCCACACACACATACACACACACACATACAAAACACAATACACACACACACATACACACACAAAACATAAAACACACAACTACACACACACACACCCTACACACACACATACACACAACCCCACCTCAAAACACACACCAACACACATATACACACACACACACCACACACACACCCACATACACACACACACACACCCCCACACACACACACACAACACCACACACCCCTGTAAGTACGTGCCGGTCAAGCCCAGGAGGTTGGGGGTCAGGTCACAAGAAGTTGTGGGCAGCAAAGGACCACTGAGAAATACATTACAATGCACAAGCCCTACCTTTCAGTACATAAAAACCCACACATATTCCACACAAAATTACACACACACACCCTCCCCTCCCCCGTTCACCCAGACCCTCCCGACCCCCCCCCCATCCTCCCACATACCCCCAGTTCCTCCACTACCCCCCCCCACACTTGACATACACACTACTAACCTAACATACAGAACTACATAGGTTTCCCCCTCTGAGGCAATCAGGATAAAACAAAAATGGGTTGCCAGAGAGCAACAAGAAAAACCAAGGGACAGGAGGGGGGAAGCTGCAAAGGAAGATTTGGGGAGCAGAGCTCATAAAAAAGGGATCATGAATGGGAAAAGAAACTAGAAGAACTTAGCATGAGAATGGAAGAGAGGATGATATGGAAAGCAGGAAGTGGGAGCTGCATGTCAAAGCAGCAGAGGCTAGGATACAGAGTTTAGAAGAGGAACTGAAAAATTGAAACAGCCTAAAGAACTAAAGAACATTTTGGGATTGACAACAGAGACTGTACCTCAGCCACAAATAAGGGGACGTAGGGAAAGAAGGGGCACAACTGCATGGGAAGCTCTATCAGAGGAGACTGTAGTAAATGAAAGAGCTAAGCTTTATGTGGAGGCCCTAACAACAAACAACAGAGCCCAAGGAAAGCCGGAAGGGAAATGACAGGCCCCTGAGCCCAAGTCATTAGCCAGTGAAACGAAAAAAGGAAAGCTGCAGTGAGGAAACCAAATTAAATGAGGAATACCAGGGATACGCAGTAGGAGAATGAAAGGGTGAGGTCAGTCTTTGGTTTTATGGGCTCCAGGAAGTTGGGAAAGGGAAACATATGAAGCAAGAAAAAAAAGGGGAAAAAAAAAGCAATTGAAAGCATCATGAAAGCAATAGGAGAAGACGACATGACCCAGCTGGAAATTTTTCGGAGAATTGGGGGGTTTTGTAAAAAAAAGAACCCGGCCAGTGAAAGTGACCTTCAAGGCAGAAGCGACTCGACTAGGATCCTGCGAAGAAAGCACGATTAAGGGACATGCCGGCATACAGGAAGGTTTTATCTCGACCGCGACAGAACACAAGAGAAAGGCAGAAATTGAGGAGGAGATGGTACAAAGGGAAAAGGAGGAAGAAGAGGGGATGGAGAAGACAGCCAGGAGATCCCCGACCCAGGAAGAAGATCAAATACAGCCTCCTCACAAATTCCTTAGAAGCCTCCCAACCAGGTCAACCCCAGTGGGAACCAAACACTCTAAAATCAAAACACCCATGCCACATCCCCAAAGCCCCCAACCACTACATTACAAACTCCACCCCCACAGCAACAACCCATAGTTCCTTACCAGGTCTCCCACTTCCCCAACCCCAATATACCTCCCAGACCACAGTCTTGAAAAGAAGGGTTGAAGGGTTTGGTTTTACAAATGCGATGGAATAACAAAAAAAGTATGAGGAGTGACACGAAAGAATCAAAGAGACATCCCCAGACATAATAGCATCACGAAACAAAAACTCACCAGAATAATAAACAGATTCAAACTTTTCCCTCCGGATACCAAATCCTCAGGGAAAGGCAGAGGGAGGGAGGGGGGGGGAGGAGTTGCACTGCTCATTTAAAAACCAGTGGGATTTTGAGAAAATGGAAGGAATGGATGGGATGGGGGAAAGGGACTACTTAGTAGGTACAAACCCGTCTGAGGGACATAAGGGATAATTGCAGTAATGTACAACCCACCACGAACTGCAGGAGGCCAAGAGAGAATACAAAGAGAGCAACAGAGCAATGATCGACCACTTTGCCGTGGTGGCCCGGAGGCACACATGGGGGGAGCAAAGTTACTAGTTATGGGTGATTTCAATCAAGGAGATTGACTGGGAAAACCCGGAGCCAAAATGGGGGTCCCGAAAACATGGAGAGCCAAGATGATGGATGGGGGTAATGGGAAAACCTCATGCATCAACAAAGTTAGAGACACTACCAGAGAGAGGGAGAGGAAGAACCCGCAAGACTGGACCTTGTATTCACCATGAGTAGTTCGGACATCGAGGGTATCATGTATGAAAGGCCCCTGGGAGCTAGTGATCATGTGGTTCTGTGCTTCGACTACATAGTTGAGCTCCAAGTGGAGAGAAATAGCAGGAATAGGCTGGGAAAAACAAAACTACAAAAGGGGGAATTTTCTCAGGCATGAGGAACTTCCTTCAAGACATTCAGTGGGAGAGGGAAAATGACAGAAAACCAGTACAAGAAAAGATGGCCTTATGTAGCAACAAAATGCAAGGAGGCAGAGGAGAGGTTTGTTCCCCAAGGGAAACAGAAATAATGGGAAAAACAGAAAAGAAAATCCTTGGTTCACCCAAAAGGGGTTAGGGAGACAAAACTAGGTGTACTAGAAATGGAAAAGGTACAGAAGACAGAGAATCAGGAAAATAAAAAAATCAGCCGAAGAGCCAGAAACGAAAATGCCAGATAAGGGAAAGGGAGGCTCAGAGACAATATGGGAAAATGACATAGCATCAAAAGTTTAAAGACTGACCCGAAGCTGTTGTACAGCCACATCAGGAGGAAAACAACAGTCAAGGACCAGGTAATCAGACTGAGGAAGGGTGATGGGGAATTCACAAAAAAACGACAAAGGTATGTCAGGAGTCAACACAAGATATAAAAAGGTAAATTTTCTGGAAACCAGTAGGACTCCCGGAAATCAGAACAGGGGTGGCACACCAGCAAGTGCTGGATGAGGTACATATAACCA